GTATGGTGGCCGAGTCCGTGGGAGCGCCTGAGATGGAAGGGGATGACTGGAGTGCCGAGCCGGGGGTTGGAGAAACAGACAGGTGGGGCTGCGGTGCAGCATCTCCCCCACCTCTCCCTGCCTGTGCTAGGGCCAGGCCCATCCACCTGCCCAAGCCCACCCATCAGTGTCTGTCCACCCCTGCACCAGGCTCTTCTCGCTGGCCCCAGCCTTGGCCCCTTTAGTTCCCTCCCACCTGTCCTCACCTGGCCTGGCCCCGCCCCTGCCCTCTGGACTACACCATTCCAGACCCTACCATGATTCACCCACGAGCTCACTAGTTCATGTCTGTCGGTCTGGCCTCCATGCTGGAGTTGCATCCCAGGAGAGGTGGGTGCCAATGTCTAATGCAGGTTTCCCAGCCAGCACAGCACCTGCCCGCCTCCCCCTACTCCTCTCTGGGCCCAGGCCTGGTCCAGCACTGCCCGGCTCACTCTGGGACCTCAGGAAGTCAGATCCTTTCTTGGGCTTCACTTTCCTCCTCTGCAAAGCTCGGGTGCTGGGATCAGCCCCTTACTGCCCTTTCTCGTCTGGAGCCTTCTAGAGCGCTCAGTATGAGACCTGGTGTGGGAAGGAGGGAGGAGCCTGGAGGGGCAGTGCACTTGCCTTCCCCTCTGGTGATTAGTGCAGTTAGTACTGAAATCACCTGAGTGTTTTCAAAAAATGCTGGCGTCCCGGTGCCGGTTAAACCAGGACCACTCCTGCCAACCCCGGGTGGGGCACATGCATCACTGTGGTTAAAGCCTTTGGTTCTGATACATAACCAGGGCTCTTTTCACACTCAAGGCACTTGCACACGCATCGTCCTAGTTGCGAGTAGACCACTAGGTTCTACTGCCCCCTCTTTGCCTCGAAGCTGGAGCTGAAGTGACTTTGCCTCCTAGGTGCTGCTGGAACCTACAGTTCGCACCTCCTATCGCAGGACACTGGCCTCACTATGAGAAAAGGCTTTTAGAAGCTGAGACTCTCGCACCGTGGCCGGAGACGCCTGCTGCCATCAGTGGCAGGGTCCCCAGGACCACTGGCAGAGCCTCCGGGACCCGTGACAGAACCCCTGACAGTGACATCTCTTTCCGGAGAGAGGCCCCAGGCCCGGGCTGCCCGGCTACTGCAGTGGCGGCCTGTGCCCACCAGAGGGCGCAGGCCCGGCGCTGCGCAGCTGGACGGAGCTGTGCGGACCAAATGCTTTTTAATTGAAAATTTTTTTAATTCAAAAAGGATTTGCTGTTTGTTCGCGAGTGCAGGTTTTTCTTATGCAGGAGACTAATGTCTTGAGTAAACAGATCCGGGCCCAAATCCACCTTCAAAGGTACTCGCTGTTTGCCCAAGGGAGTGAAAGGGCTTCCAGAAGCGGCCCCGTCTCCTGGGTAAACACGGCGGGAGGAGCGGGCAGGGACCGCGTCTGCGGGAAGGCGGCCGCAGCCAGAGGGGATTATGTCGCGGGACATATGTTGAAATTTCATTTGGGGAGTTAGGGAAAACAAGAAGGGGGGGGGGTGGCGCTTTTCTCCAGCCAAGATAACCTAAAAAGGGAAAAAATCCCGAGGGAGAGAGGGTGGGGGCGCAATCTGTGCGCCCTCGCGGGGACCGGCGCGGCGCAGGCAGGAAGGGGCGCCTTCTCCGCCCTCCCCCAGCCCGGAGGGCCCAGCCATGCCCTCCCCGCGACCCAGTTCCCACTCCTGGCCACAGAGACTGGGACAGCGGCACAGGGTCCCCAGGACAGCTCCTCTGCCCAATCAACCAGTTGCTCACAGAGGCGTGGAAGCGTCCTGCTCCCCCGCTCACCATCCAGAAAGCCCCCACCAGGCCCGGGCCTAGGCCCTCTGGCTGTGGACACTCGGGCTGGGGCTGCAGCTGCCCTTCACCTGCTCTCTCTGGCCGGCCAGCCCTCAGCACTCCCTGCCACTCCCAGGAACCCGGACCAGCAGATACAGCAAGGCCTACTGAAGGAGCAGAAGGGCACGGCCCAGGAAGCCTCCCCCAGCCCCTCCACTGCCCCGCAGACACCTGGCTGTTGGCTTCTCCCTCTGTCATCTGAGATGCTTCACCTCTGCAGGGCATCTCCCTGGCATGGCTCTGGGAGCATCCAAAGTGGGGGCGCCTCCAATCCATGTCCCACCCCAGCCTCCCCACCACCCACCCACCCACCCCTCCCCCGCCAGTCTCCCCCAGCTCCCTCTCTGCACAGCATTGTGGTCTCTGGCCCTTCCCTCTCTGCACATCCACATCCACATCCATTCCCAGGTCCCAGTGACTGGGTCGTAGAATTGTCTAAACCGGTCCCCAGAGCAGCAGCATGGGGTTACCTAGGAGCTATTTGAAATGCAGATTCTCAGGCCTGGCCCCAGACCTATCCAGTCAGAATCTGCATTTGACTGGGACCCCCGGGGACTGGTGTGCGTTCAGGGTTGAAAAGCCTGCTGCATGTTCTCTCCCGAGCCAGGGCTGATGGCCTAACTATCCACGCCGCAGGCCCTCAGCCCCGCTGTCCCCACAGGCAGGTGTGCCCGTGGCGCTCTTCTCTGCACCTTGGCACCTGCTGCCCTAGGTGCTGTCAATTCCCTTCGCCAGTCAGGCCCCAAATCTGCTTTCAAGATGTGAATGCCCCCTGCCCCGCGAAGCCCTCCTTGCCCTCTCCAGTGGTCCCCACGCCCCGTGCATGTGCCCTCGAAGGTGGCCTTCATGCTAGGCTGTGCTGGGCATGCCCGCCCCGTCCTCTGCTACCCTGGGAGCCCAGCGCAGGGCGGGTGTCTGTGGGGGCTTGATGAAGCCAGCCAGGGAATAAATTTGCCGCTGTTCCCTGCCGTGCATGTGCCTAGGCGGCCACCAGGTGGCAGTGTCCTCCCAGCGTTTGGCGCCGCCCCGCTCCTCAGCCTGCCGGAGCCGGAGTCTCCTGACCGCGGCCTGGGCCTGGTGGTTGGCGAGCAGGAAAGTGGAGGGCTGGGGCTGCATGGCGGGTTCTGTGGAGCAGCCAGATGTTCAGTGATAGCTTGCTCAGTGCCAGGGCGTGGCGGGCCCTGCGTTGCCGTTGCTCATTCCATCCTCCGGGTAGGCCTGGATGTGGGCGCATCACCCCACCTGAGAGATGAGTTCACTGAGGGCAGGAGAGGAGAGGAGCCTGCCTGAGTTGTCCTGCAGCCTCGGGTCCTTCCCTCTGCACCCTGCCAGGCAGCAGATGCTGTGAACAGGGCTCCCTTTGGCTCGGCGCCCACATGTCTGCTCAGCCCACCTTGCACACGGGGCAGGGCCAGCCTCAGCCCCAGCTGAGACCCGGGTCTATCCATCTGTCCCGGGTCGGCCTGGGGACTGTGGAGCAGGGGCAGCCGTGGACATAGTGCTGGGCTTTGGCCGTGGACGTGGCGCTAGTCTGTGGGCATGGCTGCAGTGCTGGGCTACGACTTGCTGGCTGCCACAGCCTCCCCACCAGTTTTCCACTTTAAGGGAAAAAGGGCTCCCATGCCCCTTGATGGTTGGATGGCATTTGGGCCCCACTCTGCCCCTGAAGGCTCAGCCCTGCAGCCCTCCTCACTCATCGGGGCCCTCGGGAGGGCTCCTTGCTACAGGCGGCTGGCTCTGGGCAGCAGGGAGGGCTGGGCAGGCCCGGAAGGCCGCCTGCTGGTGGGCAGGGCGTGGGCACCCCAGGACCCTCCCTGGGGCTGGTTGCAGTGCTTGGCGTCCTCCTAGGGCGGTGTGACCCCTACCGTGTTCCTGACGGCCTCCCTTCCTGGACTGCCTGTCTACAGGTGTCCCCCAAGGGGCTGCAGCTCATGGTCAGCTCAGCTACAGGGCAGCTCCACTTCCATCTGCTCTCTGCAGCGGAGCTCTTCCTACGGCAATTCTACTGCTAAAGCTTTTTTAAATATTTAAAATGCTTGAAAACCACTGATCTAATCTAAGTTCCTGCTTCCTAAAATCCATGTGACCACAAGGCTGCCTTGACGTAGGGTTCCAGGCTGTTCCCCACACCCCACCCAGCCCCAGCACCTTGCACCTGTGTCCAGCCAGGCAGCTGCCAGCCCATTTCTGTGGCTGGAGTGCCCCGTGCCTGCTCTGCCCATGTGCCCACTCTGCCCACACGCCCTGCTTTATGTTTGGGCACCAAGACCTCACCTGGCATCTAAGTGAACTACAGGTGCTCCCAGCCCCCTCAGAGGTACTTATCCCTTCTCTAAATTTCCATCAGACTTGGAACTCATTTTGGTGAGCCAGGGTCGCTTAGGTAAGCTGGGGTCTCTGGTGTGAGGCTTAACTCTTGTCCTCAAGACAGGGAGCAGCAGGGCTGAGCCGTGGAGGAAGGTCGCCTCCCCAGGCAGCCACTCTGGCCCCGCTGTGGCCTGTCAGGAGTCCTCAGCAGGGGTGCCTCCGAGGACTCCGTAAGGAAGGCATGGGGAGGGTGTGGACGGTGCCAGGGACAGCAGTGGAGGCCCTTCCCATGTCCCTGGGCACCACCTGGTATTGGTTCTTGCTTCAGCGGAGCCAGCATATCACAGGTCCCCAGAGCCTGGCAGCTGAGACCAGCCTTGGCGAGGTTTGGGTTTGAGAATCTGCCCTCACCAGCAGGGGCACGAGAACTGTCCTGCTGGGCAGAAGGCCATGACAGTCAGCACAGGCCTGGCAGGTGGGTGGCACCATGGCTTTGCACACTGCTGGCGCCAGGCCTGGCCTCACAGGGAGCAGGCAGGGACTGTGGAGGGTACCAGTCATCACCACAGGAGCCTGTCACCCCTGCAGGTGTGTCCACACACACACGCCACATACACAGTTAACGGGCACAGCTCGGGGGTCCAAGAGGGCCAGCAGAGGGCAGGCTCTGGCTGGCACCAGCCTGGCCAGCTGCCCTATGTCAGGATGCCCCATGAGGCAGCCCAGGCCTCTGCCTGCTCTTGATCTGAGGTTGTGGAGGGGTTTCCCTGGTGTCCCATGGACTGACTGTGTCTCTCTGTCCCCACCCGCCCCTGCAGTATGAGTACAGCTTCCGCACAGAGCAGAGCGCAGCCGCCAGGCTCCCGCCCAGCCCCACCAGGTGTCAGCAGATCCCGCAGTCTTGAGGAGCCAGCGGCCACTTGCGGGGAGACCACCGCCCAGACTACTGACGGCAGGGGCTGCTGCCCCCGCCTCCTCCTGCCGCCTCCACCAGCCCTCCCTCCCACACTGCCCCAGCTGGGCTGGCCCGGAGACTGGGCAGCTAAGTGGGCGTGTCCTGTCTTCAGCTGGCCTGACACCCCGGCCTCCCTGGGGACGTTGTTCATAACCATGACTAATCTGTGTGTGCTGTAGTGACCAGCGGCTCCTAACGTGTCTGTGTGATGACCAGTTGTCCTCCAAAAACCTCACTCACCACGGAGTCCCCCTGAGGGCCCCGGGCAGTTGCCCCGGCCGCCCAGTGACGCCCACCGGCTCCCTCCGTTCCCTCCTGTCACCTACCAGGGCAGACCCCACTAAGCCGCTGAGTCCCTTCCTGGAAGACCCTGGGGGCCGATAGCTTTACCTAGGACTCTCCAGGGTCACTGATCCTCCCTGGCCTAGGGCTGCCAGGACCAAGTTCCTCTCTGCAGGATCTCACAGCAGCCCTGAGAAGACGGGGAAGGAAGAAGCCAGTGGCCCCGGCGTGGACCCTGCCCTTTGGACATCCCATGGACTTCTCACCCAGTCGCCTGGAAGTCGGGGAGCAGCAGCCCTGCCCCCGGCGGAGGGGTTGTTGCTTTCTGGGGAGGAGGACGGTTGACGGCCCTGCCTGGATCCACCACCAGGACGCTGTGCTCGGCCACGGCGCGCCTCCCCCAAGGGCTCATCCGCGCAACAACCACATGCCAACGATAGCTCCAGGTGCCTCAGCCCGTGCCCTGACCCAGGGACCACAGGGACACCCTCTGAGACGTGCTGGCCCTGGGAGGATACAGGCACACGGGCACCTAGCCCCTCTCGGAGCCAGGCGTGTCTTGACGGTGTCTGCTAACAGGAACAAGTCATTCTGAAAGGTCCCCCTGACCCAGGTCACCAAATTTGGGCCAGAACTGGCATTTCTCCTGAGTACCCACTGGTGCTGGCGTCCTCACAGTGCTGGGCGCCAAGTTCAGCCCCAGGCGCATTTGCCTAAGCAGTGGTGGCTGCCATCTCTCAGGGCCCGGGCCCTCACGTGAAGGGCTGCCTCACTCTGTGGTGTCAGGCATTGGACTGTGTCCTGATTCCTCAGAATATGGGGACCTGATATCTTTGGGTCCCCAAGAGTTGGCTCTTGGATGTGGGGGCTTGATGCCGCGGTTGGCGGCTGCAGTATCTGGGTCCAGGGAAGCCACTGCCTCAGCAGGGACAGCCTCTCCCGCTGCAGGCCCTGGGCAGCCCACAGTAGTGCTAGCTGAGGCCCAGAGGAACAGGAGGAAAGGGAGGTAGCGCCGGACAGCGCAGCTGGCCAAGAGGCGGGCGGGGCCAGAAATACCTCATGCACCTGCACCAGCCCCTCCGTCTCCAGGCCCCAGGCCCCTGTGTGGACCCATCTTCCTCCTCTGCCACCCCGATCTTCACTCGGATACCTCTTGATTTCTGTGGATTAGGGAAGCAGCCACTTCTCCCTCCCTGAGACCCGAGGACGCCCCTGGTGGGGGTGGCCTTCTCAGGCCTCCTGGGTAGCACAGCAGCAGGACCTTGTCATAGGACTGATGCTGAGCGGGGAGGGGGCTGCCAGGCTGGCCGCCGATGCTCCGTTCACATAAGCCAGTGTGGTTCTGGGGACCTGAGGAGCCCCGTGGCACCCACGGGGGACACCTATGTCTGCCGTGGCTCCTCGGGTGGTGGCCCGTGTGACCAAAGCCAACAACAAGGGTGACTTCCGGCAGGCAGGGGCGGCAGGAGGGCAGAGGGCAGAGCTCTGGCCACTTCTGCCCACTTCATTAGGGTTTGTGAACTTTGTCCTTCGACCTCTTTTCGTGCCCTGGTTGTGAGATCGCCTCTGACAGATAATGCCAGGGGCCCTTCACTCCCCTCCCATGACTGGGAAAAGGCCTGTGGCAGCTCTGCTGGACCCTAGGAGGCTCAGAGGCAGTGGTGTGGGAGCCCTGTCTGCAAGGACGCAGAACAAGCAGTGAGGGCGGCTGCAGGAGAGGAAGGGGCTCCCACAGCCCCCACTGACACCCCTGCAGGCCCCTCTTGAGCTGGGGTCCCAGCCAGGTGCCCCCGCATGCCCTCCTGCAGTTGCTGGATGGACAGGACCTCCAGGCCACCAGGAAGAGGACAAACTGCGTGGACTCAGGCGAGCTGGAGCCATCTTCTCCATAGCATGACGGACTTAGCATAAGAGTAAATGACTGTGAACGTTGTAGTAAACGGCAGCTTCAGATAAGCAGTGACAGGGTTAAGGACAAGTTGGTGTCTGTGGTAGGTTTTAGGCTGCTCCTAACCCACCATGTATTGCCTTCTGAGAGGTGGGTGAGGACAAGCGTGTGCCTGTGTGTGTGTGTGTGTGTGTGTGTGTGAGAGCACGTGTGCGTGTAAGCCCACCTGAATGGGGCTGGTGCGGGAAAACTGAGGCGTGGAACTCTGGCTCATACCTAGGAATTGAGAGCTTTTCTGTCTTTTGGGAGAGTTCTTTTCTCCACCCTCTGGCCACTGTGGGAGGGAAGGACAAGGTTTCCCTTGGAAATGTGAAGAAGGTCTTGGTCTCATCCCTCAGGTCCCCCCCGCCACAGCACTTCCCACCACTGCTGCTGTCCCTGCCGGCAGCCTCTGTCCCTCCAGAATGGCTAACCAGAGCACACCGTCCCCACCACCTCCCCTTTCTCTCTGGAAAGTTGAAGTGTCTTTCCAGAGGCCTTGGAAATGGCACAAAGGTGACAAGGAGCAGGTGCTTTGCTGCGGGCTCCCTTGCAAATGTATAATTAAGGCCTTTCTTCCCACCCCAAGTGCAAGAACAAATGCCAGCCACATCCTCCACCACTTGGAGAGATGAGAACCCAGCGGGGTCGTGTAAAGGAATTGGAGGTCGGTAGGAGGACAAGAGGGACTCCCGTGTTCTAAGCACCTGCTCCCGGCCAGGCTCTAGGCCAGGCTGTCTAAGCACATTTCTCCTTTTATTCCCCCTAAAACCAGAGTGACCTGGAAGTAGATGTTCTTTGCTCCTTGTTAGAGTTGAAGAGGCTGAGGCTTGACCGGCTGCTAAGCGGCAGAGGCGGGGGTCGGCCCCTAGCCCCCGGGCCAGCCATCCCGTCGCAAAGCCTGTGCTGGGGATGCTCTTTCTGTTTCCAGTCCTGTCACGGACTTCCCAGCCGCCACTGGGCCCTGCCGGTCACCAGGCCACTGTGCAGTGGGTGCTGAGCAAAGTCAGGAGTGGCCTACCCGCACTCCTCCACCAAGATGAGGGCCCTCCGGAGCCTACAGGTGTCTGTGGGGAATCCCAGCCTGCAGCTTCGGAGAACTGGGTGGGCCTGAGGATGAAGGCAAAGGAGGGCCTTGAGGAAGCAGCCTCCGGGCCTGGCAGCCACACGGCGGCTGAGCTCATGAACTCGGTTCGCGGCCTGCCTTGTCCCCAGAGGCCACGCCAGGCACTCACCCCTGAGCCCACAGCCTCTGCTTGGGCTGCCTGGCACCCTCAGGGCGGCCCGCTCTCCTCCTGCCACTCTGAGCACATGTCCAGGGGTTGCCACCAGTGACAGCTTTGTTTTCCCAGCCAAGGCCATGGAGCTGCTGTGCGACTGTGTCAGGCCTGGACAAGGCCCTTAGGGATGACGTCCCCGCTGCATATTTATTCAAGGTGACTCTTGTACTTGGCAAGGGAAGTCCACTGTGTGATTGTCTGTATTCTTAATATAATTTGTTAAATAAACGTTTGTTTTAACCTCTTTCCCCAGTTTGCTGTCGTGGTGTCTGAAGCCAGCAGAGGTCAGTGTCCTTCAGGGCAATCCCCCAGCTCTCTCTCCCCTAGCAGGGCTCTTGTCACCACCTGGCCTGTCAGCCTTCTAGAAAGGACTGGTGGGCTTCTTTGCCCCTCGTTTAGTTGAGACGACCTGGTTACAATCAGTGGGATTCTGGGGGATGCAGAAAGTCCCTCTGTTCTCTGGTGGCAGCCCTCGGGGTGCTCCTGGAAGGAGAAAGCTCCACCTGCCGTGAAGACAGGAGCGGCTCCTGCAAGGTGGCCCCGGTGGGGAGGGCCAGAGTGCTTGGTGCCTTTCACCTCCTACTCGCTCGGGGCCCTTGTATGGGGACACACAGCACATCGGAGTCTGGGTGGTTTCAATCCTGTCCCGCCTGCTCGCCTGCTTGTGAGAGGCCACTCCAGACACCTGCTAAGGAGGCGGCGGTGCCCAGGGACAGGCGTCACGCTCCTTGTGAGGAGCCAACAGCTCAAGTTCCACCATCAAAGCTCTTTGCCTCCTCTTAGCATGCTCTGTGCGTCTGGGCCAGACACCGGTCTGCCTGCAGCCCGTTCACACCAGACTCGGGCAGGAAGGAGCTGGAGCACGGCCACCTTAGCTCAGTGCTCATCTCAGGGGCACCAGCCCTGCCTCCTCCGCATCCCAGACCCCCGCTCTGGGATGTCTCAGGCCTCTGTCCCACAGTAGGAGAGGAAAAGCAGCCCAGAAGATCAAATAGGAAAGCCGCGGTGCAGACAGAACAGCCGATGCTGGGTTCCAGCTCAGGCCTCGCCACTTCCTGACCACGTGGCCTTCAACGAGTCACCTGCGCCCTGTATCTGTCCAAAGGGACACAGTTCCCCGCCTCAATGGCTTGCCCTGGGAAGATGGAATGAGGATGCAGGCAGGGCATTTAGCACACATGTGCCAGGTCTTTCTGGGGGGCCTTGATTCTATGTTATTGTCCACAGAATGTACAGAGTCCCTCCTCTATGCTGGGTCTGGAGACACCAAGGAAGTACAAGTGGTGGTCTTTGGTATCGAGGACAAGGCTTCAAGCACTGCTTGGAAAGGCAGACAGAGCAATGCCCAGGGCCCCGGGGCTGCAAGGAGCTGAAATCTACTACACTGGCCTAAGCCGAGGCGGTAGCAACCAGGCCAGGAGGAGGCCCATGGCGCCCAAGGCAGGTGCAGCCCAGCCTCGGAGGGCTAGCCCGGCAGCCCCTGTTCCTCCCCTGTGCTTCCCACGGGCCTCATGCACCTGAGCCCACGTCTCCCCCTGCGCCTCTAGCTGCTGGTTCCCAGCCTGACCACCATCTCAACCCTAATGCTCCGGGGCTTCATTTCCCATCTTCGTCCCCCCGCAGTTCCCTGCAGCCTTTCTCTGTGCTTAGCTCTGTCACTGGTCAGTCACTCCAAGCTCCAGCCACATAGTTCCAGCAGCCACCTGGAGGTATCTATTGTGGAGGTCCCATACTCACCTTGAGCTCAGCACATGCTGAGCTGAACGAACCATCCTATCTCAAGTCCTTAACGGCCCCTCCTCCTCCAACCCTCCCATCTTTGGGATAGCTCCACCATCTCCCCATAGAGTTACCCATGCCCCTACCTGGAGCCCTTTGGGATCACTCCATTTGCAGCTGGACAGTTCTGTCATCTAACTGTTTTCAAACCCAGCCACTATATTCTCTTGTTGCTGCTGTGGTGTTAGTTCTGGCCTCAAGTCCTCTTGTTTGGATCGCAGCATCAGCCCCCTAGCCACACCTGCCTCCCACATTGCCCTGTCATTCATCCCCCACACAGCCCAGATCCACCCAGCAGGACTCCTCCACTTACCCTGCCTTCTTTACCCTAGGAATGAAGGCTGAGTCCCCACGAGTCCATGCCCCTCCCTCCTGGGCCTGGCTCACTTCCCACTGATGCCCCTGCTGAATTATTTGCAGTTCCCCAAACCCTTACCTCTCATATGCTTCCCTGCCTTTGCACATACTATTCCCTCTGCCTAGAATGCTTTTCCCCCATTTTTCTACCTGGAAAACTCCTATTCATCCTTCAAGACCCTGTTCCTGCACCTCCTCTGTGATGTCCCTCCTGATGTCTCGGAGGCAAAGGTATTTTCCCATTCAAGCTGCCTGTGCCTTGCACACGGGACCACATGTCGCTGCATTGCAGCCACCTATACCTCTCATTAGATTATGTGCTCCTGGAAGAAGGGGTCCATGTCTCTGTCTCATTTCTCTTTTTTTCTTTTCCTTTCTTTTTTTTTTTTTTTTTTAGATGGAGTCTCATTCTGTCGCCCAGGCTGGAGTGCAGTGGCGCAATCTTGGCTCACTGCAACCTCCGCCTCCCAGGTTCAAGCGATTCTCCTGCCTCAGCCTCCCGAGTAGCTGGGACTACAGGCACCTGCCACCACACCCGGCTAATTTTTGTATTTTTAGTAGAGACGGGGTTTCACCATATTGGCCAAGCTGGCCTCGAACTCCTGACCTGGTGATCCACCTGCCTTGGGCTCCCAAAGTGCTGGGATTATAGGCGTGAGCCACCGCGTCCAGCCCCATGTCTTATTTATTATGCCCTCCCCCACCACTGTATACCCAGAGCACCCAGCACAGGCCTAGAAAAATGGTGGACATCAGCAAATGCTCTCTGGACGAATTCCTTAGAGTGGATGAAGTAGACAGATGAACTAGACTCAATTGCTGAGGAACCCCTGAAGGACAGACACCAGCGATACAGGGCCCGTGATAACCAGCGGCAGGCCTCCTGGACACGCCCTGATGCTGGCCCCAGAGAGATCAGACAAGGACGGGAAAGCTGAGCTTTGTCTGGTTCATCTCTGAAGCCGCAGGACCCAACACAGGGCCTGGCTGCAAGCTGGCATCAGTCCATGGTGATGATGGTGGGACAGGAAGGTGAACTGCCACGGGCTGCTGTGTCTCTTTCTAGAACCCAGCTCTGGGGGATGCCAGAGAAACGGAGGAGGTGGATGGGTCACAAGATCCAACACTAAAATGGCCAGGGGCTCAGGTCTCAGGGACTGGAGAATTTCAGAGATAAGTCGATTCTAAACTAGATATGGATAATGCACATAAAAAAAAAAATTAGAAGCATGGCTTGCTTCATGAACATGGGCATCAGAAGCCTCAATAAAGTCTTTTTTTTTGAGACAGAGTTTATCTCCAGTCACCTAGCCTGGAGTGCATTGGCACGATCTCGACTCACTGCAAGCAACCTCCGCCTCCTGGGTTCGAGCAATTCTCCTGCCTCAGCCTCCTGAGTAGCTGGGATTTCGGGTGCCTGCCACCTCAACTGGATAATTTTCTATTTTTAGTAGAGATTTACCATGTTCGCCAGGCTGTTCTCGAACTCCTGACCTCAGGTGATCCACCCGCCTTGGCCTCCCAAAGTGCTGGGATTACAAGTGTGAGCCACTGTGCCTGGCCAGGAAGCCTCAATAAAGTATTGAGCAGAGTGAAAGATGGTCGGGTGCCTAGACGACAGATGACAGAGGTCAGTTTTCTGGCTGTGCCCATTCATCCCTCCCACATTGCCCTCGGTGGGTCATTTTCATCTATTTGCAGGCTGGGGAGGGGTGTCAGCAGAGGGAGCACAAGCGGGCAGCTGCCTGGCCCTGAGCCCCCTCCTCCCCTCACCCCACACCTTGGGTCATGTTGCTGCAGAGATGCAGGTCTTGGGAATGGTGGTGTGGGGGCAGAGGTCTGGGAAGGCCCTGAAGGCTGGACTCCTGATGGGGAGGGCACATGGGCAGAGGTTGGCACAGGTTGGAACACCCAAGACACATCCATCCCCAGCCTCCTCATCCTTCTCTGAAGCGGGCACAGGGTTCTCAACTTCAGCTGCACGTTAGAACCTTCCGAGAGTGGGTTAGAATTCCTGTGCCCAGACCCACACCCAGACCAATCAAACAAGAATCTCTGTCTGCAGGAGGTACCAAGGATTCAGTGGTGTTCAAGCTTCCGAGGTGATTTCAATGTGCAGCTGAGAGTAAGAACTCAGTTCTGGCCGGGCTCGGTGGCTCACGCCTGTAATCCCAGCACTTTGGAAAGCTGAGGCAGGTGGATCACCAGGTCAGGAGTTCGAGACCAGCCTGGCCAAGATGGTGAAACTCCATCTCTACTAAAAATACAAAAATTAGCTGGGCGCAGTGGCAGGCGCCTGTAATCCCAGCTACTCGGAAGGTTGAGGCAGGAGAACACTTGAACCCAGGAGGCAGAGTTTACAGTGAACCGAGATTGTACCACTGTACTCTTGCCTGGGCAACACAGCAAGACTCCATCTCATTAAAAAAAAAAAAAAAAAAAAAACTCAATTCTGAACTTTCACCGCTTCCCCAGTTACATGTTACCAGTCAGTGGAGCTGAGTCCCAGGGAACTATGAATTCCCAGGGGCAGGTGTGAGAACAGACACCAGAAGAGCTCATCCACCAAGGGAAGAGAAGAAGCTGAGCCACCCACACCAGCAGAAGCAGAAGTCATAGATCAGCCAGAGCATGAGGTAAATACAAACAAAAGGCATCCTCCAAGAGATGTGGGAGGACCCTGGCAACATTGGGCAGGGAGAAGTTGTTTGGAATAAGAGCCTGTCAGTTTTGAAATACTGACAGACCTAGAGAGACAAAAACAGATAAGCTAGTAACTGCACTTCAAGATTTTAACCCACTTCTCTCAGAAACTATAGTCAAACTGCCAAAATATGAGCAAAGATATAAAATGTTTGAATAACCTGATTAATAAGCAGAGAACTTTCAACCCAGTGTAGATCCCATATCCTTTCAGAATCAGCTATGCACTAAGCCACTAAAGAAACCTCAATAAATTCCAAAGAGCCAACATCGTATCTAAAACCATCTATGATCATACCATGAAAAAATAAGAAATGTAAACAAAATGATAGCTTTTAAAATGACACATGATTGGAAATGCACTACAATTAAATTAAGAGGAAGGCATAAGGAAATTATTAACATCTT